GACCGGGTAGCAGTGGTTCCGAATTAGCGACCAGGTATCAGGTATTGGCAACAGGGCTTAGTGCCTGTAGGGGATGGCGATTGGCTGGACAGTTGGTGACACTAGGGGCTCTTACGGTAATCGTTAAGGCTCGGTGTTTCATCGAGGTCTTCCATCGGCGTGTCCGGCTAATTTGCTGCTATTCATGCATGCCTCTTGTGATCTTTGAAGTGTGCTTTGACTGTGCAGGGTTGCAAAATCTGGTTTAGGGCTTCACTTCTTTAGGGTTTGCTTGGGCTTTGTTTAGGCTTGGCTTCTTTAGGGCTGGTTGGCTTCTTTAGGGCTTCGTCAGGTTTGGTTTAGGGCTTCGCTTAGTTAGCGTTTGTTTGGGCCTTGTTTAGGGCTTGGCTTCTTTAGGCTTTGGCTTATGGCTTGAGTCCCTGGGGTTGTTTTGGCTTTTAGGGCCCGACTTCTTTAGGAGGACTTCCTTGGGCTTGGTTTTCGGCTTGGCTTCTTTAGGGCTTGATTTGGCTTAGTTTAGGGCTTGGTTTCTTGGCTTGTCTTCCTTAGGCTTTGTTTTGGCTTGTTTAGGGCTGGTATAGGGCTTGACTTCTTTGGGTTGTTTAGGGTTGGTTTCAGGCTTCACTTCTTTCGGGATTGTCTTGGCATTGTTTAGGGCTTGGCTTCTTTAGGCGGGTTTGTTTGGGCGGTGTTTAGGGCTTTACGGTTTGTTTGTGCTTGGTTTAGGGTCTGTTTCTTTAGGGTTTGTTTGGGCTTGGTTCGTGCTTGACTTCTTTAGGGTTTCTTCGGGCTTGGTTTAGGGCTTCGCTTCTTCAGGGTTTGTTTGGGCTTTGTTTAGGGCTTAACTCCTTTAGGGTTTGTTTTGGGTTGTTTTTTAGGGCTTGCCTTCTTTAGGGGGTTTCCTTGGGATTGGTTTGGGGCTTGGCTTCTTTCGGGTTTGATTGGGCTTGGTATGGTTTGGTTTAAGAGCTTGGCTTCTTGAGGGTTGTTTGGCCTTGGTTTAGGGCTTGGCTTCTGTAGGCTTTGTTTTGGCTTGTTTAGGGTTGGTTTAGGGCTTGACTTCTTTGGGGTTTGTTTAGGCTTGGCTCCTTTAGGGGTTGTTCTGGCTTTGTTTATGTCTTGGCTTTTGAAGGCAGGTTTGTTTGGGTTTGGTTTCGGGCTTGACTTCTTAACTTTAGGGTTTGTTTGGGCTTGGCTTAGGGTTACACTCTTTAGGGAAGGCTTGGCTTCTTTAGGCTTTGGTTGGGCTTGGTTTACGGCTTGACTCCCTAAGGGATTGTTTTGGCTTGTTTTAGGGCTTGACTTCTTTGGGGGTTTCCTTGGGCTTGGTTTGGGGCTTGGCTTCTTCATTGTGCTTGGTTTAGGGTTGACTTCTTTAGGGTTTCGTCAGGTTTGGTTTAGGTTTCGCATATTTATCGTTTGTTTGGCTTTGTTTAGGGCTTGGCTTCTTTAGGCTTTGGTTGGGATTGGTTTACGGCTTGGTTTCGCCCCAGGCTTCAATCCTTCTTCCAAAGGACATGTACACGAAGGTGTTTGCCCCAAGCTTCAACCCTTCCAAAGGGGAAAATGATCTTTCTGACGGGTAAGGTAAAAGTGCGCGAAGGGGTTTGCCCCAAGCTTCAATTATGCCAAAGGGTAAAACTACCTTCCAAAGGGAAAACAAAAGTACACGAAAGTGGTGGTAAGGTTTGAGGACGCCTAAGCCGAAAAAATTCATGGACTTCAAAAGCTTCAATCCCTGGTGAAAAACAATTGTGTTGGTGCAGATTGGGCGCAAGCCCTCAAAGTTTAGGGCTTGGCTTCTTCACCCGAGTTTGGCTTCTTGAGGCTTTGTTTTGGCTTGTTTAGGGTTGGTTTAGGGCTTGACTTCTTTGGGTTGTTTAGGGCTGGTTTCAGGATTCACTTCTTTCGGAGTTGTTTTGGCTTTGTTTTGGGCTTGGCTTCGCTAGGCGGGTTTGTTTGGGCTTCGCTTAGGGCTTGGCTTCTTTGGGGTTTGTTTGTTCTTGGCTTAGGGTTGACTTCTTTACGGTTTTTCGGGCTTAGTTTAGGCTTCTTTTTAAGATTTGTTCGTGGTTGGTTTAGGGTGAACTTCTTCAGGGTTTCTCCGGGTTTGGTTTGGGGCTTCGCTGCTCCAGGGTTTGTTTGTCCTTTGTTTAGGGCTCTCCAGCGGGTTTCTTGCTTCCGCGTGCCGCGGTGACCGTTTTGGGTTGGTGGAGAGAATTCCGAATCAGCGACCGGTTGGTGACCGATTCGGGTTGGTTTGGTTCGGCCTTTGCTCCGGCGG